GGAACCAAAAAAATAATGTCATTTTTAGCAGCGTTGTGGATGCATCCGTGCCTCGTACCGCTCTCTGGCTTTTTAGCGCTCAGAGTAAATGAATGTTCTTTCTGCTAATGTGGAAAAAAACCCTCATACGTCCACTGACTCATATTTATTCAGACTTTTCTGTGTGGGCTACCCGTGGCGTGAGTGCCGGTCCGGTGCCACTCGGAGGTGTGTAGTCGGATTAATCTGAGCTGTAGGTGTGGATGCCAATGCCTCTGACGTCTCCACGAGAGTCTCTCTGTCGAACAGGATCTGCAGAAGAACGAGCAGCGGGACCCAACAGGGAAGTCTGAGCCGCTCCAGTCATGTGGTCCTGACGATATCTCCAAATACGCACCAATGGAAACCCTCGGGTTACACCAACACCCGGTTTATCCTCATGAATGTTTCAAAGACAGGTTCACGTACATGCTGAGTGCAGTGAGAACAAAATCAGAGCTACACATGTCGTCTTTGTTGTTGTTTGATCAGGAGAATGACAAAACTTATTCAGAATACATCCCTCAGTCTGTACAGCTTCATGTCTTATCGTCGTCACCGAGAGCTCAGCAAAGCTTCAAATCTCCAACCAAACCACCGCATCATCACTGTTTCATCCACTTGTTTTTTTTGTCGAGTTCAGCAAAAATCTCCACGTGTGCAGAAAATAAAAGCTCCCGCCTCTATAAATGGGGAAACTGCTTTTCCAGTTCACCTGTGCAAGTCTGTGCTGGTGCCCAGGACGATGGGAGGGAGCAGCGAGAGCGAGGCGGGTTTTTGTTTTGTCACTTTGAAAATGTTTTGAGTCATTTTGGTTCATTTGGACTTATTTTGTGTCGTTTTTTTTTCATTTGGGACGGTTTCCAATGGTTGTTTTACAGTTTTTAAGCGATTTAAGACACATTTTTAATCACTTGAGACATTTTTAGACTAATTTAGAATCACTTTGGACACATCAAGTCATTTTAGACATATTTAAACTCATTTCTAGACGAGTTTGAGACTTTTTCTGGACTGTTTCCAGGTCCTTTGGGACACATTTCAAGTCATTCATGACTACTTTGGTATCCACCTGACTAATTTCCAACGTCTCTGTCCCACATTTGAGACAATTTGGCACAAGATCTAAATATGCAAACTGGATGAAAAGAAAAAAAATCAGCAATATTTTATTATTTCAGAATGGCAGACTCCATCTTTAACTCTTAATAAAACGACCAACAGCCAGATTGCTGGTCTGATGAGTTAGGTGCATTTATCAATCACTTCTTTACTAATATTTAGCAATCCATACATTACCGTGGATGGTTTACGGCAATTTGTTTTCCCATGATGATTGATTATATCTGTTTTTATTGACTTAACCATCAGCATGAGCAGAAATCCTTCAAACAAAGGATTGGCTGTTTCCCAAAAAAACAAAAAAACAGAGGCTGGTGTAATAACCAAGTAAAAATTGCTTGTGTACAATTTCCCTTTTCTTCTCGATGCTGATGACACTCCAGCAAAACTCTCCGTTATGACACAACACGTCAGGTTCCATCTATCTGTTTTTTTCAGAATAATAAGAATATTCTGTCATTCTTCCAGAAGAAGAAAAAAAAAATCCCCATTTTCTACATTACTATAGTTTAAATGTGGCACAGAATGACAACAATAAGTCTCTTCTCTACTTAGCTCTGTATCTTATTTTTTCTTTAATATGTCTGAATAAAAAAAAGCAGCCTTTCCGCCAGAGGAGCAGCACACAGCGAGGGCAGGTGTATCACTCCTGTGCTTAAAAGTATGACTCAAACCGAGACGCCATGCAGACGGGAACAAACAATCAACTGACAGGCAGGTAAATAGGGGAATCTGAAGATGAAAAGATACAGTTTGGGGTCTGTTCAGGCTTTTACACTTCTCAGTTTTGCTACCGCCTTCAGGCAGCTTTGATTTTTTTTTCTTTGTGTGTGTGTGTTTGCTGCGCGAATATGTTTGAGTGTGTGTGTGTGCAATATACAGATTAAAGAAGTAAGGGGGTGAAGAAGACTGCTCTGACATTTAGAGGCTTCAACAGGCTCTGGCGCCCACCTGTTCATTCAGACAAAGACCGGGGAGGAACAAACACCAGTCATTACACTGCAAACTGAGGCTGTACAGTACGCTGCTCTGAGTGCTCACTTGGTTTTCTGAAATTATTCTTTCCTTTTTTTTTATATATATATATAATTTGGCAGCACATCTCCTCAAACTTGCTTTTACTTTTAGGGAATAAATAACAATTAAATTGCATCAACTTAAAAGTCTCCTAAATGTTCTCAAGTGTTCTTGAAGAGGCTAAATTAGGCCACCTATTTATCTACATATGACATACAAGAATGAAAGTATTAGAATATGTCTAGATGTACATTTCTGGGTTTTTGTGTCACATGACTCATCGCTATCTTACATCAGCAGCGACTCTCAGCAGACTGTCACGCAATCAGGGCTTAATTGTCTAATCCTAATTATCTTTTTTTTCTCTTTTCATGATTCATGTATAGGGGAATTAGCCTATTAGGGCTTACATGACCAATTCACATAAATTACACGTTATTTTTTATAATCATGCATAAGCCCTTTTTTTAAAAATTTTTTTAAAGCTGAACAGTAAAGCGACAGAACTCCACGGAGGTGAACTCAATGACTGGAGAGCTGATAATATTTTCTGATGACTGCTTCTTATTTTTTTTTTCACAATTCAACCCTAATGATCGGCTCGATTCTCGTTCGCGAATTTCAATTTCACACCGAAAGCTACTGGGATGACTTAACTGAAATTCTGCTGAGGCGATTAGACTCAAAATGTCACGATAAAAGGAGAATTCAAATCCAAGCAGCGGAAGTTTTTTTCTAAAACCAAACTGATTTCAACACTTTTTTGTTTTTCTCACAATATAATCTTTTAATTGCAGGTAAGGTACAATTTGCATGTTTTGCAGAAAACAATACAACAATCTGTCTGACTTCCTGTTTGAAAATCCACAAAACAGACAAGGCAGTAAAAACCCTTTTTTTCTTTAATAGAGACAAACTCATGCCTTAAAATATACACTGTCCTCTTCACAGCAGTGCGTCTTCATGTAAGATGTAAAAAAACAAAAACAAAAGGGGCTGAACAGTCCTCCAACTTCCTTCACCACATTCAGTGTTCAATAAGTCAAGAGAAACCACTAAAGAACTTGTGTGCATCTTTTTTTTCTTTTCTTTCGATAAATAAAATCACATATCTTAGGACATAAAAATACACAACCTAAGCAAATACCTGAGAGCCCTCACATCAGAAAGTTGGTATCGATAATGTCAGAGTTGATCGATCAGCACACGTCACTGGATAATATTTCAATATTCAGTGCCAAAATATACACAATTTTTTTTTTCGTATATTATTTCTTTTTAAAAAATACAATGCACCCGGTACCCTGCCATCATTTTACATTTTTGTAAACATTTTTAAACTTACAAAAAAAAAAAAGAACAGAAACACACACACACACAAAGTTCACAAATGAAACATTTGCATTAACATTTCAGCAGAAAAATAGACGTTTAGCACACTCACTTTCAAAATGCACAATAAAAAAAAAAAAAACATCCCCGCAATCTGTAACAATGATTTAGATATTCAAGTAAAGTCCTCGCTCACAGGGCGGCCTGACAAAAGACCTTTTTATGTTTTCTTTTTTTTGTTCATATGGCTGCTTCAGTTAAAGATTCTATTTATAAGTAAGGCTATACTTATTCCTACATTACTATGAGAACAAAAAATCTATGTTCGCCATTGTTGCCTCTGGAGGGGATAAAAAAAACCAAACATTACATTTGAACATAAGAAAAATAAAAGGCTGTTTTTTTTAGTTTTTTTTAGGAGGACCCCGGTCGAAACAGATAAGGCTTTTCCAGAAAACAAATATATACAAGAGGACTGTATATCACAGCTGCAAGGTGTAAACAATCTCCAGTGCCGACACTTTACAGACAGTAGGTTCTTTTTTTTAAAAGTTTTTTTTGTTGTTTTATGCTCGCTGGGCACCAGTTAAAAGAAGCAACATGTAAACAGAGAAAAAAGCTGCCTTTTGATTGGACATGAAGAAGGGATCACTGAGTTCGACTGTTTGTGACGATGGAATAAAGTTCTTGTCGATTTTATTAATAATAATAATTTAAAAAAACCTAAACATCAGACAGCATAGAAAACCCTACATTTCTGTTTTTTTTTCATATATATATATATAATTTCCAATGTGCTTTTCTCTCCTGTTCATGATTGTTCTCCTACATTTTTAATATACTCAAAAACAAACGACAAAGACACGTAAAGTGCATGACCAACTGTACCGAGCACAGTCTCATCAGAGTCCTTCCAAACGGGACGCAGTAACTATGAACAAAAAAAAAACAAACAAACTGGCCTTTTTTTTGTCTGGATCCTTCAACTATCTGTTCGATTCTATGTACACGAGCCTTCGATTGTAGGAGGTTAATAGAGATGATCTGCGATGCTACAGTTCTGGGAAGCGCCTTCAGAGCAGCGCTGCACGGTAACCGCACTCCCTGAACCCTTCTCTCGCTCACTGCTGTTTCTGCCTTGATCCCTTGTTGTCAAAGGTCATACGTGAATGTGGTGACATTATGGCGATGCAGAGAGCGAAGATTTAGAAGTTAAAAAAAAAAAACAGACATTAGTGTGTGTACGCTTGTGCGTGAGACAAGACGGTGGTTACGAGGTCAGGTTCGTAATATCACAGGAAGCCAGCGTGACGACGTTTAAAGAGTTAAGCTTCGGTAAATGTTTCCCTGTATTGGTCCTGATTTACAAAGAGGATGAAAGACGCAGAAGTAATGTGCGAGAAAGAAAGAAAAGAAGCATAAAACGAGGTACATCAGAGAGCGCCCCGCACCATCCCCGCCTTAAAGAACCGCAGCCAGCTAATTAAAAGAAAAACTGCCTTTTTGTTTAGTTTTTTTGGGCTGCCCATGTCATCTGTCACTTTCAAACAAAGTTTAGGGGATGCTCAGGCTGCCAGCAAACCCACGAGCCAACAGGACGTGATGTAGGTGCAACACAAAGGAACCCAACAAATTATCTGTGTGAAATTACACTGGAAGCTTTTAAGAGCTGAGAGACAGAAGGCCATGGCCGAACTCGTTAAGGTCACGGGGCTGACGAGAGCGATAAAGTGTGGACTTTCTTGTTTACCGTCCAGTGTGCTTCCTGATCAATAGCTCTACCTTGTAAGTGCAAAAAAAAACCGAACAGAGGAACGAGTCTCGATGCAAGCAACGAATTCAGCTTCACGAAATATAAACAGAGAGATTCACAAATGTTCTGACGATTTTAAACGTACGGGCGATTTGCTCGACCGAGTCCGAATTCGTTATGTTTCCAGCATCATTTGAAATAAACCACGAGCGTATAAAGATCAAAACATAGATTTATTCATCTGCATGTTTAAACTAATCCAGGTTATTCTACCACAGTTAATTTTTGAAAACTGGTTCAGATGATGTTTGCTTTTTTGTTTTTTTGTTTTGACAGGACTTCAAAATTCACAAACCACCAAGGGAAGTCGGTGGTTTTCATTTTCTGTGCCAGCGGTTCATAAGTGCTTCACAAGCCACTGAGAGCCGCGAAAACACGGCCGGGTTCGGGTTTAAAAAAAAAAAAAACAAACTGACACGATTCGTATAAAGTAGCATCGTACGACAATCGTAGCGTCAGTCGATCAATCTTTCCGGGCGGGTTGTTGAGAGGTAGTCGTCTGGCATCGGCTAGTTGTGCAGCATTTTTTATTTTTTTTTGCTTTTAACAAAGCTAGCTTCACAAATTAGACGTGTTGTGCACTTGTAAAAAAACACATTCGTGGTAATTTACCGCAACAACTCAGCGTAAATTACAAATTTACAAGTTGTGATATACATCTGTAAATCTAGTTCTGACACATCCGTTTTGTCACCCGTATTGATGCTTCACAGATTACATTCAAAGCCTCGACGCTAATGGGACACCAAAAGAGAAAAAGTCGTTGCATCCATCGTTGGTGGTTGACCTGAAGTAACCTCTAATGACAAGTTTGGGCAGTCAAAATCCTCTCAGCACATTTAACATCCTAGGAGATTTTTTCTTTTAATTTTTCTGAGGATTTAACGAACCCTTGATATTCTATCCTGGCTGGTTCCGTCCACCTCGCTGACCCCACAAGGCAGGAATCGGCTCTATTACACGACATTAGGAATGAAAACGTCAATAAAAGCTCAAGGAAGGTGAAAGCAGGGGAGAAAAAAAAGACTAAAATGAAGTCAAAGCTGCTCTGTTCTACAATTCAGTAACATTTTGTGAGGAAAAAAAAAAAAGAAATAAAACACAAAAGCGTCCTTCCTTCCTCTACATAATTAAATAAGTAGAAAATGTGTCTTTGGCCCATACCTTCATGTGATTGTTCAACTGTTCAGATTCACAATAAGTAGCTTAAAAACAAAGTCCGTGATTGTGCTACACGTGTCTACAGCGCCGCCGTTCGACAGTCTCACAGGGGACGAGGACGGATGTCAGGCTATTGCTCCTGTCGCTTCGCTGTCCTTCCCTTCGCTCCCTCTGCTTCTCTACTGGAAGGTGTGCTCGCCGCGGACTATGTGAGAGGAGAACTCGTAGCGGTCCTTGCTCCGGTGACCGCAAATGTTGCACTCGAGCGGTTCTCTGTATCCGTGGCAACCCATGTGAATGGTGTACATGACATGGTCCAGGAAGAGCACTCGACAGTGCTCGCACTGGAAGGCCCGCAGCTCCTGTCCCTCTCGTCCGAACACCCTCACCCCGTCCTGGCTCGCGGGTCTCTCCGTGGTCGCCCTCGTCATCCCGGCCCCGACTCCCGCCCCGCTTCTGGGGGACGCGTCTCTAATCCGCTCGCCCGAATACACCACCGCCGGGCTGGCTCGAGACCTGAGGCCGGGAGGGGCACCGCCGCCGCCGTGGTAGCCCTGCCTGTCCTGGGGGCTGCTGCGAGCCGAGTCGGCGGAGTCGATGCCGCTGTTGCTGGGCGACTCCTCTTGCCCCGGTTGTGGCGGCTTGCCCTGCCTGATGATAGCGGAGGGGCCGTTCGAGGTGGGATGGCTCGGGAACTCGTGGGGCTGCGGCGGCAGCGTGTCGCAGTTTCCCGGCCGCTCCGCTCGCTGGCCAAGAGGCAGGACGTGGTGGAAAAGGGGGTTGACGATGGGCACCACGTCAGCCATAGAGAGAGGACCTGGGTGGTGGTGGAGCATGGGGCGCATGGTCTCTGAACCCAGGTATGAGATGGGGTTGCTGAGGGCCTGGTCCATCATGTGGGGGGGCATCAGCTCAGCCTGCTTCTCATACTTGAGGCCCATCTCATAGCCTAAATCAGGATAGCTGTAGCGGACCATCTTCTCACCTGCAAACAACAGAGCAGCACCGTGACTGTGTGCAGATGACGTTAAATACAGACGCAGCAGCACAGAAATACTGCAGAAATGTGCTTAAAATTTCCTCCCGAGCCCGTCAAACTTATATCTGGCTGATATTTTAGCTCTTGTTTTTCACGTTTTGCACTTGATGCTCGAGTCTAATGGGGTGGAAAGCCCCATCCATCTACTGGTGCGCTGTTTAACCCCTCTAGCACAGGGATGCGGTAAGCTGTTTTCTCTCGATAAGAGCAATGGCAAAGTTACAGGTGTACCTAACCACAGAGTGAAAAACATTTCCTTGTCTCTCTGTCATCTGCTTGCTCTTGCTCGCTCAATCTATTTTTCTAATAGTGTGCCAAATAAAAAAAAAAAAAAACCTTCAGTAAGTAGGGCAGGGCTATTGTGTGAAATTATATAATGTTGTATGATGCAACACTGCAAAGGAAGAGGGGGAAAGCCATTCCAGCCCAGTGAAGAAACTCAGAATTTGCAAAGTCAATGATATAGTTCCATTCTGTTAGCGTGAAAGGAGAATCAGCTGCAGAGTTTATTGTGCAAAAAATTAATAAATGCATTCAAAGACTCCTTAAGAAAGAAATTGTTAAGCTCTCTTAACTCAATGCCCGCTTTCTTTCATCCACTGAAATGCTGCAAAACTTAAAGTGAAGGTAAAAAAAAAAAAGTCGATCAGTGCAGAGAATCATTTCAGCAGCTACCTCAGCTTCAAAAAAACAAACACTGTCTCTCTTCCTCATGGTCTCCACCTTGACTAAAAGGAAATAAAGCTGTCGCCTGTCTACCATTACTTACCCACAAATTTCTGAGGCGTGGTGCTCTTCCTCTTGCCTACGTTGCTGTGCAGCCTTTCGATGATAGGAGGCCGATCAAAGTTGGCCATGGTGTTGGCCTCGGCCAGGGACCTGGGCTCTTTAGGGACCTCGCCTTGAGATAAATAGGAAGCGCAAAGAATGCATGTGGATGTTTAAAAGCAGGACTGAGATGGTTAAAATGAACAGATCACTTGCAAATTAAAAATGAAATGAGAACATGTTTATTTATTTCTTTTTTTTTCAAACTCCTGCATCATGAAGCTTATAAATCTCAGGATATGTTGCTTGTTTGCTTTTTCAGAAGGATTACTTGACATAATTTGCTATTTTAGTAGTTAAGTGGTTGCAAAAGCAGATCAAATTCATAAATTCATGGTTAAAAAACTGGCAAATCAATGTATTTTTCCCTCCTCTAAAGGGACTCCTCTCATTATGCATTTATTACAATTAATCCACAACTAAACCGTGTGCAAAGGGGTTAAAGCTGACTTCACTCTGCGCGATCCCACCTTCACGCAGCAGCTCATCGTACTGTGATTTGGGTACTGCTCGCGGTTTCGGTTTTAGTCTGACTGTCTACCTGTGTACGGGCCGGTGTTGGCGGCGGGATCCAAGCCGATGCCCTGCAGGTAGCTGTGGCAGCGCTCTTTGTGCTCCTCCAGAGACGTCCGCTGCTTGTAACTCCGGCCGCAGTAGTTGCACTTGTGCGGTTTGCCAACTAAAAAAAGACATTCCAAGCAAGCGAGAGAAAGAGAGAGAGAGAGCCTATTAATTTCATTCATGGCTGCACAGACAGAGAGTGGGTAGCATCTAATGCCGCAGTATTGAGGCGGTGCGTAGTAAATACTGAGAACAGTCAGTAGTACAAACAAACCAAAAGCAAGCTTCTGAGATCATGGAGGTTCCACTACTAGTGTGAGGATTCCACACAACTGTTGCCAGACAGAGAGAGAGATAAGTTGTGGGCGACAGATAGTTGCGCCATAAAGTCTGCGTTTCAAAACGCTTCAGTCTGCGAAACGTACAGCAAACTCCCACTGACTGTGGCACAGCATGAGTGAACGGCGGAGTTGATCATGCATCCCTTAGCGGCGGTAGGAAACTGACTCCAAGTTAAACTGCTATGGAGGTGTGAGTGTGATTCATTGTGCCATTTCTGTTTCATTCAATTCCTTCCTACCTCGAGAAATGGAAAAACGAAGACGCATGCTTTACATCTGCCTCAGCCAAGCCATCGCTACCGTCTGTCCGTCCGGCGTGTAGCCAACGGATCAATACGAGCAGATCAGGGAAACATTTTTAAATGTTTTTATTTATCATTTGCTCCTCTTTATTTTTTTTTAACTCATTATTGTTCACTGCAATACAAAGTCCTGTGCTTCTATGGAAACAGCATTATTTTTTTGCAATATATAGATTTACCAAATTATGAAAAACAAAAACCTACAATAGTTGAATTTCTTCGATTATTTGTTTGATTAATTTTTCTAAAAATTGAAACCTACACATGCAGCATTTTCCCAGTGCTGCTACGTGTTACCAATACTGGAAAAATTTTGCCTCTTCGTGGTAATTTACTGTTTCATTTGTTTCCACACTTGTCTCCTTTCTGTGGAAACGCAGCCGAAGAATCCCTGAATCTTATCTGCTGGCCACAGTGGAGTCAGTCGTGGCCTCTCAGCTGCACACAGGAGTGCAAAATTTGATAATTTTTTTTCCAGAATCAAGTTAAAATAGTTTATTTTTGGTGTATTTGCACTGAGATGTAGAAAAAAAAGTGATTTTGCTGAAATATTATGATTTTATGCTTAGATTTGGTTCATTTTTTCAACTAAGCTACGTCACAAATGATTACTTCAAGGGAAAAAAGTCAAAAATCAAGTTTCTGGCTCTGATAAATTGTGCTGTTTTGCTCATTTATTAAAACATAACATGCCTTTAAAGCCAATTTTGGGGTTTCGAGGGTTAAAAGACAAATATCTCCAAAATTTAACACAACCGTCCCTCATGTATTCAACTCACTGGTCCTTCACAATATTTAAATTAACTTTCCACAGACCATATTCAACAGGAAGACACGTTAGCCGTTCTAATATTGAGCTTCAAGTTAAATTTAACACCTTAACAACACGCTGCATTCAGTGGAATCCCAGTGACGCGTGCGCCGCCCAGACAGCAGGTCCGAGTCCTGCTGTCGAAGGCATTCTCAAAACTCGCAAACGTAATGACTCACAAAGGGACCCGGCGACTGAACCGGAGGCCACACGAGCGCACCGCCGTGACCCAGACAGCACGGTGAGCAAGGCGGCGTAGTGAAGACGCTCACTGGCACAATGGTGACAGGTATTACTAGAAGAAGAAGAAGTGCAGATAATCCAATGCTCTTGTCAGTGTGAGAACAGAGAAACCAAACATGTTTCAGTCTGAGCCATGGAGGCTGTGACACACACGTTTAGAGGGAAGTGACGGTTCACACGTGAACACAAGTCGTTTTTCTCTCACAGAACGAACGGTGAGTTAGAGGAGGGGGGAGAAAAAAAAAAAGAAGCAGCAGCAGCAACTCAGAGCTGAATCGTCCTTGAACTCTGTTTAATTGTCTCCCCTGGACTGTTTGTTTTATTTTTCTCATGATGATTTGTGTGAATGAAAGAAAACCCACTCGTCACACAATGACATGAGCAGTCATGGCCAGTTTTACATCAGCAGGCACTTTTTTTTTTTTTTGCTTGTTAGTGAATCATGTGGAATGATGATAGATTTTCTGCTGCATATGTCATTCAGTACTTCTGTGGTCTATGAATGACATTATGTCAGATGAACTCGAAACTAGGATTTATTATCTCGTTGGGTTTTTTTTTTTCTGGGTATGAACAGACACAAAAAAAAAGTGGTGGCTAATGACAAAAGGTTTCAATATTATTAAAGTGTGGGTGGGTGTACCTGCAGGGTCATCACTGTAATATTCATTCTGGGGAATGAAAGAGTTACTTCAAAATGAAACGTCATCATGGAAATAATTCTCTTTGCTGCTTTCCAGCCGTGAAACTCTAAAAGTGGAGTAGGCAGCATTCAATCAAGTATCACTCCCTTGTGTTCACAGCGGCTCACATCTACACACTCTCACACACAGACACACAACATAAACTTCATTACTTTTTCATATTTGCCACCCACACATAACCTTGTGCAGATGTTGGATGGACCTAAAGAATCCACCTTTCAGCTGCTATTCTTACTCATGCAAATGATCCACACTGCGAACACAGACTCACTTGACTGATTGCATTTGGCTAATAAATGGGAACTTGCTCGAATTTAGATCTTAAAATATGTAAAAATTGATCGCCTCTCGAGTCACGGTGGTTTTTTTTTTTTTTTTTTTGCTGCATTATCAGTTCGACAATCAGATCAAAAAATGTCAACTTTCGGTGCAGCATTCATTCTGGCCTTCTGTTCTTCTTCACTGTCTCTCACTCTAGACTCCCACTTTCCCCTCACATGACCTCTCTTTCTATGCTTTATTTTTTTCCTCTTTCAGCTACACCTGTTCTTCCTGGCAAAGCACCAGACCAGAACCGGCAGGTTTTGCGGGGAGACGCAGCGGTGGATCCCCTGGACGCTGACGGGAGTCGGGATAGCTTAGCAACATGAAGTTCCTACTAAATGATCAGAGAAAGCCAACTTCATATTTAAAGGCCAAAAAAACAACAGAAAAATTGAGGGATAAAACAAACAAATCCAGCTCAACTGTGCAGGAATTTAAAGCACGTTTTGATGGTGGAAGACAAGATGTGCACAAGACAAGCATAAAACTTAAGAGAGCACCAGCAAACAGACAAAAACTGTAGGTAAACATATGGCTGCACACCCAAACACAAAAGTTACCTCGATGTAAAAAAGAGAACCAAGTATGAGTAACCCCCGTGGGGACATCACAGGCAGAAATGACGGTATTGTCTGACCTTGATTACAAAGGCGCAACAGAGGGGAGAGCACATCCTCTGATAGGAAAGTGGGTTACAGTTGAGAGAGACACCAGCACTCCCCATGTGTTTCTCAACAGAGATAGTTTCCTCCTTAGCGAGTCAAGCGACTAAGGAACAGCGTGTCCTTGGTATCTAACCACAAGGCACTCACAGCACTGTCTATAACACGCATGTTAAAAAAAAAAAAAAAAAAACATCTTGTCAAAAACAATATGAAATAGAGAGAAACCGACTGGCGTGTGCACTGAGCCTCTCGCATTAGGCAGCCCAGACACACTGAACATCTCAGGAGATCGAGGCGGTTACAGTTCTTCTTTGAAAAATAAAAGCGAAACACATGCAAACATAATGTCAAAGACAAGCTGCGGTTATTAAGCGTGAACACCAAGCGGTGGAGGAGATGTATGGACGTAGAGCATGTTATGTGGAGAATAAAATATAAGTGTAACTTTGCATGGGTCAATTTAAAAGTTGAATTCCCTCTGAAAACATTGCATTTCAGATCTCTGAGGTGCTCGTGTGCTTGAATGCAACCAGAGTTCTTCTGGGTAACCGGAGTGAATGAGTCAAAAAAAGGGGAAGCAAAGCGGGTGAGGAAGAGGCTTACCAGCATGAGTGCGCAAATGGCCGGTGAGGGCATCGCGCCGCCGGCAGGCGTAGCTGCAGAAGGGGCATTTGAAGGGTTTTTCACCTGTGTGCAGCTTGATGTGTCGCAGCAGGTTTCCCTTCTGGGTGAACGACACACCGCACTGGTTGCACTGGAACGGCCTGTCACCTGATAGAGGCGAGCACAGGAAGTCAATACCACTCATTGTGGAAGAGGGTTTTTAGAATGCATCAACAAGCCTGCAAAGACGTTTTTTTTTTTCTCACTGACTGGACTAATTTACCTTCTGTGGGTCTATAAGTGGCTGTGGACCCCCACCCACATGTTCAGTTATTACTTAGAGCTGCTTTATACACTAAGAATTAAACATGTCTGTCAAATTGTCCTCAGTTGACACACAACCTCTTGAACTACTTCTGGGATTGATCATGAAGGAACCAAACAACTGTTGAATGCAGTCTCTAAACCTTCTCTAAGCTTAAATAAGTACATGTATGTTGTATGCATGTATTAAAGAATACCATCTTTAGAAATGAGGAAGAAGTAGTTAAAATACTTATACTCGCATTTGGGGAACAATCTGGTCTAAAGTCAACTACAGTCAAAGAAATGTGAATTCTCTTTTGCTGTTATGAGTTGATTTAATCTGAAATTACTCTGCTTTTTGAATTTACTGGGACTTTTCTGAAACCAAAACTTGATTTCATTGAACCTGCATCCTCTCCCTATTTTGACTTCATTTAAAGACATGCATGTGAGGTGAAATCAGCATGTTTGTGGGGACATCCAGAGACTCCTGGATGGACTGCTCACTGAGGATGTACTTATACTGCATGTCATTTGGGGTGCGGGTTTGTGTCTTGCACTGGGTGTACAGGCGAGTGCTCTGCAGACTGCTGTCTTCTGTTCTAATGGCATATCTTTTGATCTGCAGCCAGTTGGAAAAGAGAAATACGATCCTGACGCTGTGACAACCACAGCAGTCATGGCATCAGTTGAAACAGGTTGCGGGGGATTCCAAGGATATTTTTTTCCTTGATAATAATTCCAAGACTAAACTATTGTCTTTCAACAAAAAAAACAAAACAAAAAAACAGAAAGCGCTCCACACCCACTGTCGAGGAAAACAAACGAGTTGTGACTCACTCTGAAGATGGGGGAACATACACCACCGCCTTGATTTTAATAGTCAGAGAAAGAAATCTGCGTGGATTGCTAATGCCCAAATATGTTCAAGTGTGTCAGCTGCACCAAGAACTCAGAATCGGTACCGTTCGGTTGTCGGTTTCCTGCATCGGCTGTCACATTCGGGCCGGACAATCCGTCCTGTATGATGTTGCTTGGGCTGCCGGTAATGGATTCCTCCAGCACTACGCCTTCGTCCCCCGTTTGGCCGGCGTCTTCAGGCGCTGGGCTTCTGCTCTCCGCCTCTTCCGTGGTTTCTTCCTCTTGCTTAATTGTCAGTTCTGTAAAACAAAACAGAACCTTGAGATTCCCACCGTACGGCATCGGATGCAGGTTTTATGAGAGCACCTCGTTGTACTAAACTCCTCGGCGCTCATTCATAAGGCATAGGGTTGAACTAGGTTAAGATCAGGGTTAGGATCAGCCTCTGTAGGTTTGAAGTGGACTGCAAAGGTCTGAGATGATCTCTGTTGGTCTCATTATGTACCGGCTTGGCTGAAGGGGGGGGTAGAGATGGCATAGGTTGCCTTAAGTGGGTTAGATATGCAAAACAACATTAAATGTGGAGGCGGAGGGGACATCGTTTTAATTTCAACTCAGAGAGAGTGTTCGGATGGATTGACAGGAAGAGACGGAGAGGAAAAAAAAAAGAAAAAGAAACAGGCTAGTCTGGTTTCTGGCTGTCCCTGAGGAGAAAAGGAGTGTCAGAGGCCCTTTGCTGGCTGCTACCGTCTAGCAGTGGGAGACCGGCTGGATGACAAGGGCGAAAAGATTGTGCAATATTGTGTGTGTGTGCATGTGGAGGTGGGAGGCGGCAGGAAACTATTTACCTCCTGCAGTCGCTAGTTATCAGTCACCAGCAATTAGTAATACTTGAAACACAAAAATAATCATTCAGAAAAAAGCAATGCGTATGCAACCGCTGCACCTTCTTCCATTCTCCTCCAGCTTGACCTAGTAATCAGACGGATTCGACATGCTGTTTACAGAGCAACCGGCAAAAAAAACAACAAGCGTGAATTCCTCAGGCAGCCACGCAAACTTGTAATTTGAATTAGAATTATTGACTCATCACCCACCTAAAGAAGGTTAAAAAAACTTGTGCTTGAGTGATAGAATTGACCCAATTTCCAACCAAGCTACATCAAGCAGAATACTGTATTTCGTCTTTACAGTTTCCTGTACATCTGTCAAACACAACAATGTCCAAAACATTTGTACAGGCTTTTATAAAGTCCTCTGACACAAGTTACCATGCTCCCTGTTATAAAACATGATTTAATTTGGGGGTCTTACAGTAGATTTAATTTAGTTCCCACTGTGACAGAAGACTTCAAAGAATCATACGGTAATGAAGCAGCAATTTTTTGGGGGCACTACAGTAAAAAAACACCGTGTGAAAGGGGCTTTACATGTAGAAAAACACTATCCAAACACGGCTCACTCATCCTGATTATCCTGTTTTGGGATACACAGGGGCAATAATCATAGTGTGAGCGTATGTGCTTGTTTTGCTAACGCCTCCCATTAGACTGCATCCATCAACTGTCCCCTCAGGCTTTCGGCGCTGCATCCGTTTAACTCTCAGAGGCCGGTGAAAGAAATGTATAAATTCAGCGATTCTCGTCTCACAGGCTACAGAGATGCATCTCAATAAAGACACTGTATTCCACAGTTTGTACAGAAGAACACTTATCCCAATACCCAAGTTGCAATCGAGCCTTGTCTTCGACAGCTGTATCCTGGCAACACGGAGCAGACCTGAACGTCCTTGCTATTCAGCTCCTTGCATCTTTACATCTGTCTCTCTACTGTGGCAGAGTGGAATGCATAGAGTGGTCAGATGAGGATACGCTCGAAAGCGGTTGCCACGACAAAAGCAGCGAGGAAAAAAAAAATGTATCTGAATGCCGTTTCCGTACATTTCCGCCCCTCTTCTAGACGGAGTACAGTCCACGATTTATCCCCACAATCGGTAGAAAATCCCTAACGAAGATCTCTATTAATTGAGGGGGGGGTCGACGGAAAATAACAAAAGAACGTCGGTCAGCCTCGCCAACCTGAAGGATGTAATTCCACCCTGTTGTCGTTTAATAGAGTGCACAATACCAAGATAGCAATTTCTGTTCAGGCTTGCAAGTTTAAGAGTTTGCAATTTTCCCTGCTCATTCACAGCACAGATGATATGATGCAGCCCCTTGTTTTGTAAGAAAACCTCAGATAGCAAATCGCGTTAGGCAACTTCCAGAGCGACAACATCGGTGGAGAGCACCTCCCTGTGAAAACCAATTGCTCGGCGTACCTCCCTGCATCGCTCAACTTGTGGGAAACAAACGTCCCTTTTTCTCACTCGGCTCATCTCTCACTTTGTTCCCTCTTTTTCTTGCTTTTGCTGTTTCATGGTGACATTGAGATATTCTTAGATATCAAGTCAATAGCCTGAAAGGAAGCGAGCAACACCAAGTACAATATAGTATAAGAAGATGGCCCAACATTTGTTGAACAATAGCTCTGACTGCTGTATTCAGCCTCAGTTATTTTGCATTTTACTTATTTACTTATTGTAACTTCTCCACTTCTTCATTTGACTTTATTTTTAGCTTCTGGTTTAAGGCTGCATTTTGAATCTTTTATTTATGTTTTCTCATCAGCTCGCATGTTGCTCGTCCTGGTGCAAGCTGATCCTTTTGTGTATTTCACATTAAAAGCCGTTTAGGGGGAGGAAAACATCAATTCATCCTTCGGCAGAGAGCTTTTATTGTGAATGAGTTTCTCAAGTGAAATTCAGTGACGAGAGTGAACTCAGTGAACCGTGCACTTTTTTTTTTTTCTCTAAAGAAAGAGAAACTGAATGCCAGCACACTGCAGTTGTTCCTTGCAGAGTGCAGAAATGCGTGTCTATTAATTGAGCACTCACCACTGGGGGAATTAGGACCCTGAGGAACCGTCTGTCCATTAGGTGCTGACATATCCGCCAACATTCTCGAGTTCTCCTTACCGGGAGAGTATTGGCCGTTACCTGGGAGACACAGAAACACAGCAATCTTTATTGTGCTGTATAATACAGTAGTTGTTCAACAAATATCACTGTTATGTGAAGAAAAACAACATCTAGTTTTGTTGTCGGTAATGTTAACTATTCAGCTGAATAATGAGGGTTTTTGAAACAGATTCAAAAGATAAGATTAGGATGCCCAGCTGTGGAAAACACACCACTTTGAAGAGATATATTTAAAAGGATGAGATGCTTATAGACTGTGATCACAAAATCCACGGCGTATTTACTTTTATATTGGCAAAGAGAAAAATAGAAGTAAATCAAACAGCAGCTAAACAAACATTTCATATAATATACAGGATGAGATACAGAAGCCGTGTAAAGATGTCTTCGATTCATCAGTCTCCGATTTCCCTCTAAGTGTTACCTGAATGGTCAGTATGGAGGTCAACATGCAGAATACAGAAAGCAACACACTAAACTGCCTTTATGCACCTATGGGATCCTAAAGTCCAGCAAATGTGGATCGGATTGCATCCTCTCAGCGGTCTGTACAGAACCCAGGCTATGGATAGCCCAGTGTCCACTCAGAGGGAGAGCAAACCAATCCCTTATCCCCTTACACCCCGGCCCCATCAGGGTCACTAGAACAATGCAGTGGCAACAGGCAAACACTCGTTCTGACCCAGGTGTCAGATCCCTCAGGAACCACGGTGAGTCATCATTTACTACCAGCAATAAAAGGTTACTAAGGTTTTTTTTTTCCCTCAAACACACTGACAGCTGGGGAAAACTGGAAAGACTCCCTCGTGTAACAACAGCCTCAACTAAGGAAGCTCCCGCATAAAAAATCAAAGGACAGCGATATGAGCCACATCTGAAACCACCAGAAGCATTTCCCTGTTCCAATTTGTCGATGCCGAATGTTGTCTGAAACGATCCCTCGTACATAAAAAGAGAAATCCGTGTCAGATCTCGTCTCGCCGCGACAGCTCATTTTAATTTGACAACCTCTTCTGTGGCATTGTTCCTTTGTGGCGGCGGCGGCCTCGCTGAGTGGGGCTTACTGGGAGACGCTGTCCATGACACAATCCCTGGGCCGGGCTCGGGTTGCACAGGTTGGGGTTGGAGGAAATCTCAGGTGACCAACGCTGGCTATCCCTTGGCAGTGCTGTCCTGGAGACAGGAGTGGCCCAGATTTGTCATGAAGGATTTTCCATTACTGTAACAGATGCTGACAGATGCCTAGCAGCACCGTGGCCGGACGGTCTCCAGAACAAACTTGCAGCTCAGGACCGGCTGAACGCTACAACAAGCACGCTCCATTACAGATGGCACCAAGGCCTCCTAATTAGGCCGAAGCTGAAGTGGTCAAGGGAGATTCCTTTACATATCGATTGTCGTTTAAAAGCCACAATATGCGTGTTCATTATGTCTATCGCAATATGGTTACATCAAAGCGGTTCGTCATCAAAGGCCCTGTGTCATGATCTCGACACCATCGGCGGCCTTCAAAGGAAGACGTCATTGTGTTTGTATGTGATTGCAGTGGTCAGATACACCCACGCAACCAGTAATTTTCCGCGCACACACACAGACTCGTAATGTTTTAGCCGGTTGATATATATTGTGAATTCGCATCGAGCTAAAAATGCAGCAAGCCACACGCACAGGCTTTCATGGATTGAATCGACGGTTTGCGTTGGTGCCCCGCGTTTGCTGAGTCAAAGCTGAACCAACATTAAGATCAGGATATCAAACAGTCGACACTCGCGGGGGAAAAGGTTCTTTGAGTAATACGCCAAATTGGGATGACTTAATGTGCTGGCAAATGGAAAGGAACAAATGTGTACACACGAAACTTGTAGGTGTAATAATTGCTGACTTCATCGCTGAGACCGAATGAACACACAAGTTCTGAAGTACAGTCATCCTCTCAGGAATCCAACAAAGGCAAATGTAATATCTGGTCCTACGACTTATTCAAAAGAGGGCACAAAGTCATTATAAAGGTATGTGGAACAGTAAACTATAAATATATATATATACATCATAATAAACCACAGTTTGTCCGGAATCTAAACGACTAGACTCAGCAAACACAACGTCTAAGTGCATGAGGTCTCCTTTATGGTAGAAAAACCACAAACACTCTTGCTGTTTATCGTCACCGGTGTGTTATATTTGCAGCAAGGTGTATTTGTGCATGTGGGGAAGACCCAGTGAGGAGGGAAACCTTTTACCGTCCACCACTATAGACAGCGAAATATGAAAAGAGCAAAGTTGTTCATGTATCTCTGGAGATTGGTCGACTATTTAGTCATACCTGCTCTTAATGTTGTTCATACGGATGTGTTATTATCACACTAAAGCAAGAAATTAGACATCAAATGGAAAAAGTTTGGGGTTCTTTTCTCTCTGTTTTACCAATAACTTGTCAGCATGCAAGATGGACAATTACTTGTGTTTTCCTGATGACTGTGACGAAGACATTCAGTATGATCGTGCAACAAGTGTAAACACACAAAGGTGGGATGGATGATTAAACAGAAACAGTCTACTTGAAACCAAATCTTGCACCTGCTCCAATCAACCTATTGGCTACCAAATCCAGCCTCAGTCCATTTTATCAGTACAGTAGCAGCTTTCCACAGCTGTTCTTCTTAATCTTCTCTTGTCTTTTTGAGGTGCACGCAGTTGAATCAAAAATTGAAACCAAAAATAGTCAGTCTCATACAGTTCTAACCAGGCAGCATGTCTCATACTGCTACTCTGACTCACAGATGCTAATATGCCGTCTTACACGTAGAACATTTCGTTTTGTTCACACCTGACCTTCCACCAAGTTGTCCTTGATGACTGTTTTTTTTTTTTGTTTTTTTAACCCAGTCTTTGTTTATTAGTCATAAATGGCCACTTAAACAGCTGTGCAGACGTTAGCTATAAGCTATCTAGCATTGCATCTCGTCGCACTTAGTCGAGAACATCTCAGTTCGTTTTCCAAGGGATGCCGGTAATGCGTACAGAGCGATGCCTCCGGTATACAATTAGACAGATCAGCAACCAGTCGGAGCGATGAAACGCGTGATGCACGGCTCAGCTATGAAAATGCCTCAACAATGTTCCTCCGTGTAGACATCACATCAAACCGCCCCATATTGGATTAGATTAAATAGATGACATAGATAGGCTGTGGTTGGTTCTCTGCAGGGCCCGGTGGTGGAGATATGTTCACATGTAGGGGGGGTGCAGAGGCTTTCTAGCCGAGCAAATGAAACAAGAGCTTTCACATTTATCTGGTTCCCAGGCTACGTGTGAAAAGTAACCAAGCACAGACACATTAGTATCTTATAGGGCTAAATTATGACACTTCCATGCAGAGCGAGTGTTTATAAAATACGGTGCACGTAAGCTTTTTTTAAACGCACTAAATTTCACCATCATTGCTTCTTGGATGTGAGGATTTCCAGCGTCTCTCTGTTTTAATTTGCTGGACTATTGGCTTAACAAAACAAGCATTTTGTCATTTTTGGGTCTGCACTAAGATGCCATTTGTCACTAGTTTCTGAAAATAACCATTAACTGCAATCTTATGCACATTAGTAATTGGTACTTTAAGGATATTTGCCTAATTATACTGTGTGTACTCCAGTAATCTTTCAAATGCAATAGCAGGAGTTTTACTTGAGTAAAAGATATGAGGACTTCCTCCATCATTGGCATGCAATCTGCTCTTATGTGAGGCCGTTTAGTTCAGCCTCTAAATGGTCTCAGCCCATTGTGTTAATGTCTCTTAGAGCCTATTTTTGTCTCTACGTGTTCATGAGCTGGACTCATAAACAGCGTCGCCAAAACTGACTGACATCAAGTAGTCCAACCAGAGCCTGGAACCCACTTAGTCATCACGAAAGTCGCCCAATTTCTATTTCCATCTAGGAAAGTAGCATCTTGTCTATCCGACGTATACAACACACACACACACACACACACAAGCACGTATATACATGAAATGAAAAACAGTCCAACTGAACGGAAAACTGCCCAATATGGCGGCACTGCTCAAAAACACTTGGATAGGCGCCATCATTTTCGCTCAATTTGAAGCTTTTTCCCATCTCGTGCACACGCATCATCGCCTCAAATTGATTTGACCCAATCATGTGTTTGCATTGACTTTTCATGCACTTCTGCTACCTCTAAAAAACTCAAAACATAAAGTTCAAAACAAGGCTGACACTCTCTGTTGCATGTATTTCCCTTTAACATATTCTTTTTGACACATACAGCATTTCCCCTATTACGTATACTACCACGGTGCAGGTATGAGTGTGTGACAGATTACTACCGGTGAACACGAGGGCTCTGTGTCTAATAACAGAAGAACATGTCTGCATACGAGAGGGGGTGGTAGGATTTAGTGTGGTGGAGTTTAATAGTGTGGGAGAGTATAGTGGTGTTTCTGCAAGATAAGGACAACAGGTGTAATGTCTGACCTCGATGCTCTCTCACAGGCAGCACCAGGATACAGTGAGATACATGCGAGCCATCGCAGTCCACAAAGACGTCCTGTTTCTTGCACTTTCACGCTGACAAAATATTTTCTTTCCACCTCAGAAGCGACCCACACACAAGGACAGGACAGGATAGGAGAGAGAGAGAGGGGGGGAGCCTCCATCATCTTCTTCTTCCACCTCCACCTCCACCCCTGTCCCGCCTGTCAAGTGTTCCTACAAGCACAAACCCCCAATGGAGACCTAAAAGTCCCCACTGATGTCATCAGCAGCATGCTACCTGTTTTGAAATATGCACACTGAAGCGAAATGCAAGGTGGAAGGAGGAGGGGAGGAAGGGGGGGCAGGGAAGATATTCAAGAGACCTGCCCAAAGGAAACCAGCAAAGGGCAATGGAGCACCACAAAGTGCATATCCAGTATCTGCTGCATTCAACAGGATGTTGCTAATGCATCGTTTTCTTCCCCTTTTAAGAGGTGAACAGGAAAAAGGCTGCACTCGGGGGAAAATCCCTTGAAATGTTTATTGTGTTGTGATTGCAAATGTTGTTTTTTTTTGTTGTTGTTGTTTTTTAAATTTTTCTTGGTATCAAAATGTTGTAAAAGTCAAAATAAGGTAATATGGAGAATGCAAAAAAATAAAAAATAAAATAAAAATGCAACCCTCATTAGCATCATCTCCATCATCTGCACAGTAAAACACATTCCGACGTATAAGCTCCGGCCTCGGTCATAAAGCAGTGAATGTAAGCAACAGGAGGACTTACTAGCACAGTATTCCTCGGGAGCCTCCATTTCGAGCGCTTTGGGAGTCCTGCAAGATCAGAAACGTATCACTGCAACACATATAGGACGACAATACAAAGAACATACGGATTTGTCTCGCTTCCTTCATTTGTTTAACCAGAAACGTGTCTTGCAAAAGCAGCCTGAGCTATGTGTCTTCATAAATCCCTTGATGTAATCGACCTTGGTCAAGCATTCGCATGAATGTCATGATCCCGTCAACCGTTAATTGGTTCCTTTTGATACCAAAATGAACAGCTGCTAAATGGCTCCACAGACTCACAGACTGCACAGCACTGAGTCTGTGCAGCTTTCTTTTTAGAGAAATAGTCTCGTATATTTAGCAAGCTACTCTCTGAACTATTTTGAAAAAGCGTGAAGTGCCGTGTTTTAGTTTCACATTCTTCACCACTAATGTGTTCTTGCGTAAACAGGTGTTAAATTATTACTGTTTCCTGAAAAAAAATAAAAATAAAATCCTTGGATTGAATTACAGAAATCGTGGTGGATGTTATACGTCTCAATAATTAAGGTGAAATGATGCCACTGACTAATCAAGCTTGATCAGTAATCTCAATGTATGCTCAGGTCTAATGACAGAGCAACAGCAGCTTTGAAATTTTAAAAACGGAAATAATTCAAATGACTAAAATGAATCGAGTTACATTTCGTCTGTTTGCACAGGACTGGGTGCTATTAGACCAACACAACAGATGACATTCACTTCAAGCAAACCACGAGACCTTTCCCTGTGCACAGACACACTCCAACTCACCTCCTGTTTTTAAACTTTAATGCATTAATAATAATGTTAATAATAAATGGTGTCCACAGGCACCTGAGGATGCAGAAAACGGCTGTAAATTACTTATAAGTTGACTGACATTTGTAGGAATTGCAAACTGAGGCTTGGCTTCATCTCTTGACTCACTTCCAATCGTACAAGATTTGAGAAAATATCAAGGGAGTGCTTTTATGATTTGACTTTAGAAATCAGACAAAGTTTTTAACACTGAGCAGAGCCACATAACCAGTGTGTACTGTGTCACAGGCCAACTGCTGGCTTCCTTAAAGAGCATTAAATTTAACCCTTTGCAGAATGACACACATCCTTTTTCAGTTTCTTTTGATTAGAATTTTTTTTTATATCTAAACAGCAGATGCGAGACAAAGATAAAAACAAGGAGCCAGCTGCAATTTTCTTAACTATCTGAGTTCTAACATCCCTGTGAAGCAACATGGGGGGAACCTTTGGCCAGCCACAGCAAAGCTACCATTTGTTTCAGATTCTGGTTATTCCTACAAGCTCAAGTTTCCTCGCCACCAACATTAAAAGTGAAATGTGAAAGCAAAACAAGAAAGTAACATGCAATAAAGACAACAGCATAAAAAAAAAAGTTGGATTCATATAATTACCTTACAAGTGTCTCCCCTGTGCAAAATTAGTTGGTTATTTCAGTCAAGGACAGAGGGAGTGGGTGGCAAGTTGTCTCCACCTCCCTTTAAAGAAACAAACAACAAAAAAAAGTCAAATTCCGTCCAGTGATGTGTCACTATGAGAGGCAAATGCTTTTTTTTCTTTTTCCTTTCAGATCAACATGTCCAACAAAAAGGAAAAACATCCAACAATTCATGCGCGCAAGTTCTGAAAGGCAAAGAAAAGTTGAGGAGGTGCGCATCTACAGTGTCCTACAGGTGACTGTCTGTCAGAGCCTCTTGTTGCGCGCGTCCCGTCGACTTTCCCCCCCTTCACTTCAAAAGCGACGTCCCATCGACTCGTACACTTGATTCCAACTCAGAACATTTCACGAGAAGTCGCACGAGTTGCTAGCCGAGCCTTGCGCCGCGAAGAACTTTTGCAATAGGAACAAAAGAGAGGGGGGAAGACTTGACGAGTTGGTAAAGGGAACGAAAGAGAGGGATGGATCAAACTGGATCCACCGGTTCCTAAGGAATTAGCCATAGCGACAGGGAGCAGCCAAGCTATTTTCAACAACCAAGGGACTGGAAATCTGTGGGTAGGCAGTGCTGAAAAGCTACTGTAAAAGAGATGTGACTCAAGGTCGAACCGGTAGAGCTTTACGCGTCGTAACTAGTGCTGCGCACAACGGGAATAATGTGATGTGGTGCCAAATGCAAACAGTGGGCAAAGCATGGCACGTTTAAAAGACAAGAAAGCCGGGTGCTGTCCCATCAGAAACAGATGATTACATTGGTACAAGTAAAAAAAATAAAAAATGTATAGGCCTGACACTTTTGGCACTACTTCCTAGTTACGTCTACGCGGTGACTTTAGGAAGCCAAATTAATATTTATGTCCACAGCAAACCGGCGGGAGAACTGTATATATATATATATATATTTCTGCAGATGTTCAGGCAAGTTAAACAGTAAGGACGGGGTGCATTTACCTGGCGGACAACAGCTCATCTCTGGAAATAACCATCAGCTGCAAAAAAAAATTAAAATAAAAAAACCGTGAAGCGAGTTTTGTTGGTATTTTTAGTGGTGACGCGCTGTGTTGTTGTTGTTGTTTTTTTTTTTTCTCTCGTGTTAAGTGTTTTTTTTGCTGGGCTGTGCTGCCTTGAATGGCTCGGAGCTGACTGACAGCTGCAATTCAACAGGTTATCCGATCACCGCAGTCTACAGCAGCAGCAGCAGCAGCAGCGGCAGCAGCAGCAGAGCCCCGTCTGGCTTTTCCATTCATCAGACAGACGCTCCTTGTCTGCCTTTGCTGCAGACATGCGCCTCCAGCAGCTCTCTGAAGCGTCTGTGGCACAACTGACAGTCGAACGACACTGAACGTCTCTATCAAAGCAGTTAATCTAGTTAAAACATCCGCGCTCTTCTCTTCGCTCTCTTTCCTTTCTTTCTTTTCTCTCTCTCTTTTTTTTTTATTTACCTTAAACACGTAGGAGTTTATATAATCCCATGAACTTGCACACTGATCCAGACTGAAATGTCTCGGCTTGGAATAGAATTCATTCTTGTCCGACATGCGCCATGCAGCGCGGACTGAAAGGTAGTTTGGTTCCGCAGCAGCAGCAGCAGCAGCAGCAACAGCAGCGGCGGCGGCGGCGGCGGCGGCGGCAGCAGCAACAGTTGTTAGATCCACCACTGACTTCCTCCTCCATCTCCTCCGAAGCGGGGCAGAGCAGCAGACAACCCGCACGAGTTGCTATTCTGGGAACTTGGTCTGGCACAGAGAAACGGATCACAGAGTGTTGGACCCAGGCTGCCTCTCTGCTCGGCAATCGATTAGGTTACAAGGGGCCTCTTATTTCTGTGGCTGCAGACAGGTTATATCCCTGTGGCGACAAAGAAATAAATAAATACACAAGTGGCACAGCAGCCTCTTCTAATGGAGCTAACGGTGTAGCCGCTCACGGACCATGTGCATTACAGCAGCACACAGGGAAATGCATGTAAAGTGACCGCATCTGTTATGTCCTGCAGGTGTATTTCTACACTTACACTGGAATTATTTAGGACATTAGTGAGAAAAATAACATTTATTTGCACAATGCTGTCATGTAAAGACCTTTACATTTATTATCATAATAAGATAGAGGATTTTTGATCAATATCTGATCATTTAAGGAATATTATAACACCTAATTTTTAAATTCCTTTTTTTTGTGGCACCACTTTTTGGCATCTTATGAGTTAACGTGCACACACTCGCAAAGTCTCAGTGGAAGCCCACAGTTTGCAGATAATCTTGGCCTTGGTGTATTGGTCAGTCTTTGGATCTATAACTATCAGGATGATGATGATGATGATGATGATGATGAAGAAGATCTACTCAGCTCAGTTAGATAAAAACTACAGTAGGGATTGTGATGGTCACAAAGGGCTGCCCTCGGTGTGATGGTCGCATGAAGCCAGGAGTGTAGTGAAGTATCCGTCAGACCCAGTCCGTACTTCCTCAACCGAACTTCATGTCCGGCGTAAATGATTGACACCATTCAGCAGGAACCAAACAGGCATATGTCATCTTTAGTGTGCTGAGCTGGACTAATCACTGATTTGAAATCATTTAAGGGTCTCATTTTAACAAATTAATCAAAGTCTCACATGTCTGCACACTGGTTTTCACATCAAAATACTGTAAAGATGCTTAATTTCACCATAACCCCGGGTTTAGGGCCGTTCTAAACACTGTTCTGCTCTGAAAACCAAAGAGCTGCTGCCGTTCTCACCTCCTTCTGGAAGAAAACGCTCATTTTTAAAGCGAACTAGTTGCGTTGAAGTTATAGAAGTAAACATCGTCGTATTCTAGCACAATAAAACCACATATGGGACCTTTAACAGATCAGGTCCAGCACTGAAAACACAACAAAACTCCAAATGCTGCACTGACTTTAAGTATGCTGGCGCCACACCAGAAAAAAACAGAAAATATAACTATAATCAGGCCCAAAGAACACTCACAAAAAGCTGTAGACGTACAAACACATCCGCCGAATATAAAATAGAAAATTAAACTAGGTTGTGGGATCTTGTCGTTAGTGACCTTCGTGGTGTAAATGTCAGAGTGTGTGAGTAATCTAGTGTGAGCCAGTGTTTGGTTTGTTCTTTGTGGGCTACAGTAGAAACTATTTCCCCCATGTAGACATGACGGGTTCATTCTAAGAACATAGTTGTGAAAACTCATTTCTGTGTTTTGCCGATGGAGCGCTCTAAATTGTTTAACGTGTACAAAAGGGTTTGCAGTCCCTGGGGCAGTAGCGGCATCAGCTTACACACTTGTTGCACTCCTCCAGTGATAAAGATCATTACAGGGTGATGGACTGATAAGTTATGATCATTAAGTATTCGGAATAAGCACCATACAGTCAGTTAAAACAGGTCTTGTCTTGGTGTATTTTGAGCCACCAATAACTAAAGCCAATCATTAGAGAAGAGAAGCCACTCTTATTTTAAAAGAAAAGGTATCACATCAGGTCTAATGTATGTGTTATCAACATGTGGACTTCTTTGAGCTTGGACTTTTGTCAAACTTCTTTCTTTTCGCATGGCACAGTAGCCTCGGATTAGCCGTTTCTAGCTCAGCTGGTGGTGAAAGATGGCAACAGCATGGAAAAAAGATGTCATCGGCTGAACTACGGCAGGTTTATAAACGATTTTACATATTTGCACTGTTGGAACAGAAGAAATATGACCTCCAGAATAAGAGGAGTGTAAAATCATGGCACCTGTAGCAACACTTTCTGCTTTTTTTTTTTCTTTCTAATGACAATGATCAGCTGTTGGCTCCATGATGTGAAGTGATTACTGTTAGTGGTCATACTAACAGCAGAGTGAGTAGATATAGAAATGATTGTAATGTAGAATAATAATAATAATAATAGAACGAGAACAAAAAATATTCAAGGTGTTTTGAAAAGTCACATAATTGTGTCATCAAAAAATGCAAGGAAGTGGCAGCATCTCATCAGCTCCGTTTCTACTTTCAGATTTCCGACTGGTAACAGCCACTTTAGATTTGAATCAGCTCCGTCACGTAGACGTCGCTCAAATCAGCAAAAAAAACAAACAATAAAAACAAAAATAACCACATTACTGCCTATTTCCCTCCTTGTGTATTTAAACAGTTTTGCTGGATGTGTTTAAAATACTGCAATTATTATTGTTATTATTATTATTATAATATAACAACACGAGTCGTTATTTTAACAACCAGTAATTTAATTAGTATAAACCACTTAAGTAAAAATTCCATCAGCAAAATTTAACTGAAGTTTTTAAGTGATCAAAAGAAAGAAATTTAAAAAAAAAAAACTATGAGTTTGTACAAGGAGCTTCTCTTAATTTCGTCCTTAACGTTTCCATGTGACGGCGTCCTTCAGTGGCCGTAGTGAAGATGCAGAAACCCTGCACAAAGAAGAGATCGGGGTGGATGACTCGCCCAACAAAACATTCGACTTTAAGGCAGAAGGCTGCTGTTTGTTTCCTATTTGAAATGGACAGACATTGCCTTTAATCATGACTGTTAAGTAACTGTTTCTTTATTATAAATAACCATACATGTCTTCTATTTTTAACCCAAACCGTGATCGTGCTTCACGTCGAACCACTTTCTTGTGTTTAAACCGAACAAAGTGGCTTTTGTGCCTTAACCAAATTGATGAAAGGTTTCTGCACTGCTTCCTGTCTCTGCCTGCGCTTCTATCAGTCATATTCAGAGGGAAGACACAGATGACATTTATGGTTGCTCAGGTTGGAGGGTTTATTCGATAGAAATACAGTAATATTAAAGGAGATTACAGGTTAGCTTCTCCATTGTGACTGATAAGTATTTCACTGTTATGACTGGTTGCACTGGAGCTACTTTTAACTACTTTACAGTTAGTTTAATTGAGTGGTACCCACCCGATAAGATGAGTCTGAGGGGCGGTGAGGTGATTGTTAAAATAGGGAAGAAGAAACAACAAAGTCACGACAGTTTTTTTGGACTCGGAGGTTCAGAAAAGGTTAGAAAGAACTAAAATTTCTTTACAAAAAAAACCCAAACAAAAAACAAACAACAGCCTTCTGAAACACTACTTTTTTTGTACTGTTGTTAATGTAATCTTGTATTAAATAAAAAAAGTATTCTATTCTATAAAGTATTCTATTCTATTGTAAATGTATTTAATAAGCAAATACGCATTTAGA